CTCATGTTCCTTTCGATTGTATTATTATTTATAGTGACGGATGTATCATCTGTACAAATGCTTCTTGCTAAACCAGGACCAACGTTCACAAAGAACCTATTAAACTTATCAACTACATCCTCAAATCTATTGACCGGTGTGTCATTATCCATAAAATATTAAGGGTAGTTACTCATGCTGGTACTGTTTCTAATCAGTTTATTTAATATATTCCAAGTACCTCTCATATTATTTTTATTATCCTCTAATACTTTAGAGTAATATAGTTTCTTACATCTCCTCAAAATCTCAATTAATTTGTTCTTATATGACTTATATTTTTCTTCTGCCTTCTTTGATCTGTCCTTTATGAATTCCTTATATAACACATTCTTTTTTTTACATGCATTCTGTAATCCCTTACTCATCCACGGTTTCCCACTGTAATTCCTTTTGTTTTTATACTGCTTACGAGGACAGTTCCTGTCATATACTTTCTTAAATATATTTAAAAAAAAACTTAAGATTTCACTAAGAAAGTCAGACAACTGCAGCTGGACCAACATGAGACCACGACCTCATATGATGTCACATCCTTGTTCATGTGCATCGCCACCACAGAGGCTGTCAAGGTGGTGAAGAAGAGATTTTTGAAGGATGACATGCTGATGGACATGCATGTACACATTGAGAGCCACTGTACCAGAGTACCAGAGTTAAATTATTCATGTGTCCAACACAATAAAGCTGATTCTGATCCAGAATTCCCTTAAGGCTTGTGATTACCCCAAGTGGGCCTTCACCAAAGCAAGGAAGAAGCCCAACACCAATGGGGAGAAACCAAAAACAAGAGGGGATAACACTTTCATCCCTTATGTGGCTGGTTTATCAGAGAAGCTGGAAAGGATTTTTCCGCAACCACAATATCCCAGTCAAGTTTAAGCCAAAGAACACCCTGCAGCAGAGACTGAGACACAAACAGAGTGATGAGGTGTATGCAATTAAATGTAGTCAGGAGTGTAATGACCTGTACATTGGGGAAACAAGACAGCAGCTACACAAACGCATGGCCCAACACAGGAGGCCAACCCCAGTGGACCAGAGTCAGCAGTCCATGTCCACCTAAAGCCACCGGGGGAGCCTGAAAAACATCACTGGCTATAGGAAACCATCCCCCCCCCCTCCTGTGGAGGACCGCCAACTA